GGGTTTCAGCAACTGTAAGCAATCTGATACAGTAGTCTCTCTTCCCAAATCTGCCGAGAGCTCTGCGACATCTAGTTCTCAGATAGCTGCAGTGTTGACAAGACTCAGTTTCATGCTGCTTTTCAAAATTCTGAAGACAGCAATCAAACTGAGAAATAGTATTATTCTGCTTCTACTTGGTACTATGATTATCTGAAGAGGCAGATGCTAGAGCTATTCCTATAGGAAATAAACCCCCAAACCCAGAAAGCAAGCTCCTTTGATCACTGAGAGAAGGATGCATCAAACCACCACAATGCAGAGATGATAAGAAAGATAAGCCACATTCAAGGGGTCCAAGGATGGTTTTCTTGTAAGAATCTCAGAATTCTCTTAGTAGCTGGGCATTCACTTGCTACCAAATTCTTTTCTGTATTATTTTCTAGATAGCGGGTGTATTCATTTTACACACCAGTATTATGATACAAGGCACAAACAAGTCCTTGATCCCAAAACACCTTCACTCTTCCTTTCTTTACTGTATCAATTTAAGCAAAATGTTTACTTTAGTGTGGCAAGGATTTCTTAGGGTGATGTTTTTTATTGGACCAGCTAGCTGGGATAAAGTTAAACAAGCTTTCAAATGCAAAATATTCTTCCTCAGGTCTCTTTAGAGCAGGGGTGGGCAATTATTTTGGTTGATGCGCTATTTAATGAGTTTTGGTGAGCTGTCTAGGGCTGCACCCATAAAACATTTCAGATCTCATTTTACCAAAATTATAGATAAAACAAAATCACGTACTAAAAAAATCAAACATCTATTCTAACGTATTTTAATTTCATTTAAAAAATATTTTTTCTTCTGATTTATGTTTTTTTGAGCAGTGTGCATACAGCTGATTACCCATGGTCCAAGCCAGCACATACCGCTTCCTGGTGGGGTTGCTCCCACTGCTGCAGCAGCTGCCCTGGCACTGCTCAGCTCTACCCATCTCCAGTGGTTCCTCCTCCTCCTGCCCGTTGCACCACTCCAGGTGGAAGGGGCGCTGCAGCCAGGCAGTTCCTGCCCCAGTGCATGGGGCTCTAACTCTAGCTCCTGGCTGCTTTCCACCTATCCAACATGATGAGCAGTCACCTTTGGATGGAAAGCAGCCGGGAGCTGGAGCTAGAGCCCCACACACTGGGACAGGAGCCACCTCGATGCAGCTTCTCCTTCCACCTGGAGCGGTGCAGCAGGGGCAGGAGGAGGAGGAACCACTGGAGGTGGGGAGAGCAGAGCAATACCCAAGCACCTGCAGCAGCAGTGGGAGCAGCCCCACTAAGAATCTGTGAATGCTGGCCAAAGCCAAGGCAATGCCATCAGCACGTGTGGGTGGGAGGATGGTACAGGCTGCCCCAGGCGGCAGTGGATAGGGCTCAGCCCCATGCAGAGTGCCACTGGGGCAGCCACAAGCTGGATACAATCAATTGGTGGGCCAGATCCAGTCCGCAGGCCAGATTTTTCCCACCCCTGCTTTAGTTTATTCCAATTTAAGACTTCATCGCGCACACACTATTTCCCTTGTCAATACAAATCCATAAAATACTCTTATTAAGGAATGACCTAACAGCTTTCTTTTAAGGTTGTATCAAGTCAACAGCTTCTTTGGCTCAAACAGTAAGAGTCAATCTGTCAAACAGTTATTTGAATGGTCTAGTCTAGTATGTTACAAAAATCCATGCTGGCTTAGGGGTTGCCAAGTTTCAGACTAATTAAAACCAAAAAACTGTTATCTGCATTTCTAAGGGATGCTTAGAATGGAAATGGCAGTTGATCTCTATGTAATAAGCTGTCAAGTAACTAATATCTATTTAATGACTGACAGGTAGAACAGTTCAAGTACTGATTTTTGCCTTCTAAATAGACATGAAATCAAACATTTTAATACAGTGTATGTAGCACCTTTAAACCCACAAGTTCTTTGCTCATCACTGATTCAGAACAGCTCAGAAGTAGCAACTGGTATCTTATTTCCATACAGATTCATAGAGGACAGAGTCTTTCTATATTCTCTAGAAAGTAGTTTGTGCACTGTGATTTAGGGGAAAAAACATAGCTGTTTTAATTATAGTCAATTTTATTAGACTTTAAATCCTTAGCTTATTAACCTATAGGACTCCTATGAAGTGGAACTGTAACTGAAAAGAACTAACACTTATAATGCCACAGGTGGGACAGAAAGACTATCACCACAATTAGCTTCAGGAAGAGTAGGGAAGTCAGCTAAGGAGTTCTCTGCCTGTCGAACTCTGGAAGGGACTACTCCCCTTCTATGTACATTAAAAAAAGACTAAAAAGATCTCACAAAACAAAACCCCAGACTGAATGGCTGGAGTCACTGTAGACAAACTTTAATCAAATTACCGACAGTCAGCTTGTTTCTGCTCCACGAAAATCAGAAAAGTAAGGACATTCTGAACCCACTGCTTATCAACAATTTACATTTCAACCAATTTAACCTCTGTCAAGGACTGATCATTAGGCAGTAAAGATATGAAAATTGGGTGGCAGGAATCAAAACAGAAGCTCAACAACAACTTTAGAACACAGAAGTTGATACATCTCTTCTCTAAATCCTCTTGCCCTCTAACCATTACTCTTAGATACTCTCTAAACAAGCATTAGACTGAAGAAGCAACTACAAGAGTTCCTGAGTACAAGTAGGGGAAGTACAAGTAAGAACAGCAAAGTCCAGCACAACACAAAAAGCAGAAGGGGAGAAAGACATTATACTTCCCCTGTGCAGCCAATCTGGAAAGCAGAATGTTCATAAGGGATCAGTTTAAGTGATATTGACCCATTTTCATGTTCAGACATCTAGCAAGCATGGCATCACCACCTCCTGCTTTACCAAGGAACCTGTGCTCCTTTGGGCATGAGATCAAATGGAAGCCCTCTCCTCATCTCCCTTTCCAATCCACCAGCCTCACCCAAGAGCTGAGATTAACTGTAGTCAAAACAATTTTCTTTAAATATGAACCAAAGCAGTTGAGATACTAGAAAAAGGAGAGATGCACCTGTCATTGACACACCTGCTTTATAGAAAGATTTGGCCTGCAGGCCAGATCCGTATCAGCCAGAGCCCTTTTATCCAGCCTGCAGTGCTGCCTGTGGCTCTCAGAGTGGACCTGTACACTATGTGCAACAGACCCTGCCCAGCCCAGCAAGTAGCATGCATTGGCTCTGTCCCTGGCCCCAGCCCTGCATGCAGAAAGTCAGAATCTGAAACAAACTCTACATGACATGGCATGGGCAGTCTCTGTATGGCATATAGCAGATCAGAGAGGAAATAAGCAGCAGAGCAGCAGATATCAGAAACCAAAGCAGCAAATTAGACAGAGAACACTTGGAAGAAAGAGCAGCAGATCAGGCAGAGAGCACAGGGCTGGGAGCAGAAAGCAGAGCTGAGTGGGCAGGGGATCTGAGTGGCACTTGGGGTAGGTACCGGGCTAATCTGTGCTATGCCTGCCAAAAAAGTTGGCCCTCGCTGCTCATACATCACTCAAATTTACTGTCCAAAATGACTAAGAGAGGAGATCAGCAGTGGGACTTTCTGTCCCTTTAGCTTGTAAGATTAAGCATGATTTATATTGCCTGTTACAGACTCTGGGTCTTGGAACTTGTGATACGTTTCTGGGCACAGCTGCAGAGAAGCCGGCCAGCCAGAATATTCCCCAGGAATCTGTCAGATTGGGTTGGCTAGGCAGCACTCACCCCTCTAAACCCAATGCTTCCTCAAGACTGAACGCACTCAGGCAGGCTGGTAAACTCGGCCCCTTCGTTGCCTGCTCTTCATCCAGTCTGGGCTAGGCAGGTGGCTTACCCCCGTATGAGTCTCTCAAACCGAGACATCCAGTATCCATACCCAGGCCATTTGAGCGCACTTGAAGTCTACTCAAGAACTCCAGGCCCCATCCAATCTAGTGCTGGTGGCCCAGACCATGCAGACTTAGAACGGTGGGACAATAAGGCTCATAGATTGTAAGGCTGGAAGGGACCTTGGAAGATCATCTGGTCCATCCCCCTGCACCAAGCAGGAAAGACAGCAGGGGTCAGATGACCCCAGCAAGGTGCCCATCCAGCCTTCTCTTGAAGATTTCCAGGGTAGGTGACTGCACCACCTCTGGAGGGAGCTTATTCCACAGTCGGAACACCCTAGTTGTGAAGTAGTTTTTCCTAATGTTGAGGCCGAAACGGTCTTCCAGGAGTTTGTGACCAACACTCCTAGTTTTCCCCAAGGGTGCCCTGGTAAACAGTTGCTCATCAAGCCCTTGATGTACATCTCTGATATAGCAGTAAGCTGCTACCAGGATCCCTCTCAGCTTTCTCTTTTTCAGGCTGAAGAGTCCCAGATCCCTCAGCCTTTCCTCGTACAGCTCGCCATGCAAGTCTCTGATCATACAGGTGGGCCCTTCTCTGAACTCTCTCATTAGGACCTTGGGGAGGTCGCCTACCGGATCCACTCAATTTCATCCCAGCCTCAACCCCTCAGACCAGTGCTCCCCCGACTTGCTCTTAAGAGACCCCCAGGACGTGGATCCAGCTGACCTGCTGTCTGTTGTGCCTCACCACACTCCTCCTTGGCAGGCAGTTCTCCTTAGCATACAACCCGTGTCCCGAGCCAAGGGGCCAGCCAGGCCCTGCCTGCCACACCTGCAGGAGCTCCTGGGTCAGGCTCAGAGGCAGCGCAGCCCTGAACTGGGCGGCTTCACCTGCCCCACATCCTTCCTCAGTGCGGGGCCAGGCCAGAGCTTGCCTCGGCAGGCCATGCTCTGCAGGAGCCCCCACTGGGCCGGCCTGGGGCCCCCAGCCAGGCTCCGCACTCCCCTCACGGTCCCCACCGCCGCCCTGGCTCCAGCCCCCGCAGGGTGACCATGCCCTGCTCCCACTGCCTGCAGCCGGGCCCCGAGCCCCGCATCTCCCCGCTGCGGCCCCAGCAGGGGTCACCTCCGCCCCGGCCCGGCCCGCGGCACCCCCTCACCCGCGGACTCCCCGGTGTTGATCCAGTCCGGGTTCGCCAGGCTCGCGATGGCGAAGATGTCGGCGGCCAGGAAGAGGCATCCTGAGATGATGGTCAGTTTGGAAGCGAACCCGAGGGCAGCGCCGCGGCCCGGAAGCGAAACCCGCTCTCCTTCACACTCTGCCCAGACGGGGCGGGGCTTGCAGCGGAGGGGGCGGGGCCGATGCGGGAGTGGGCGGGGCTTCTTCCTGGTGGGCAGACCTGCCACGGGGGTGGAGGGGGGCGGGGCGTCTCTGCAGGGCGTTGCGGGTTGGCTGCAAGCCGGAGCGCCGGGAGCTTCCATTGGCGGGAAGGTAGCGTCGCTGCAGGAAGGGTTCTAACATAGGGGCGGGGCTGCGCCTCAGCCTGGGGCCGGGCCTGTGGGGTTGACCTGGGGCGCACCCTGGGTTGGGAACTGCCACAGGGCTCTAGCCATCAGCATCCTGCAGGGTTCAGTCTTGGTGGCTAAAGGCAGCCCATGTACCCCAGGACTCTGGGGGTAGTGCCTTGTGTGGCCCCTTTACTGCCCTCGCTGCACTCCTGCCCCAGGGGCTGAGCCTCGGGTCACAGCTCCTGCTGCCCATGTGAGGAATATGGGGGCCAGAGATGACAGCGCTAGGACCTGCGCTTGTGCATCCTGCTACTGGAGAGGAATGAGAATTTGCTACTGTCCGTATGTGGCAGGGGCGACATTGGACCAAGTAACATGGCCAAGAACTGTGTCCCCAAGTCCCAGCGGTCAGTGAAAAGCACGGAGAGCCCAGCAAAGTGCTGAATATGGAAGGACCAAGTGACAGACCAGGGGTAGGCAACCCCCAGCGTGTGGCAAACCAAGGCAATTTGCTTGGTGCGTGCACCTCGGAGCAGATGGCGAGGAAGGGGCTGGGGCTGCGCTGCCCCAACAAGGATTGCCCCCCCCCCCCCCCCCAGAAAGATGCTGCCCCCCCCCCCCCCCCATGGCTCCCCTGCCGTCCAGCCCTGGCACACCAGCATCTTACAAGTTGAGGTTGCTGGTGCTTTTGGCCCTCTGCCCAGAAATGTTGCTGACCCCTGTGATAGACCAAGAGGGAAGGCCAAGAGAGGACAATTAGATCAATGAAAGGATGACATGAAAATAAGAAATGTAACAGTGCTCAAATGGTGTGGGGCAACTGAGTTAAAGCTGCCAAGCAACCTTGAAAGAAGATTAGGCTGAAGAAAAGGAGTGGTAGAGAAAGACATGCCATCACAATTGCATAAGAAGTCTATGGAGGCACAAGTTGAATTACTTGATTAAGGAGTTATTGCAATAATAATCCCACCTGTCCCAAATCCTATTCTTCTAAATCTTCATGTCAATCTCTGCCACTCTCATTGTGTAACTTTTGGTAAGTCACTGTGCTTCAGTATGCACAAGTGTATTATAGTTATAAGGATAAAAATAGGGCTATTGGGAGGAGTAACATTCGTGTTCAGAAGCAAACCTAATTAACCTTGACTGGAAAAAAGTCATCCAAATATATTGAATGTTAATTACAAGGTTTTGTTTTGTTTTTCTCCAGTAACCTCATCAAAATAGAAACCTTAGAACAACTAAACTTTCCAAAGACTACACACATCCCAGGCCTAGCTGCACTGTCATCTTACTGGTTACTTGTGCCTTTGGGTTTTTTGGTGATATTTTTTTACTGCCTTGTGTCACGGTGGGGTCCTCCAGGAGGGCTGTAACCTCCTTAAGGTCCCTTCCTCCTTGCCAAGTCGACCCAAGGGCACCCTGATTCTTGCCCGCCACATCTTTGATGTTCTAATACATATTAGGGAGGCTGCCTCACGTCTTCTTGGACACGGTCCGTTGTAACCTCTGGTCCTGTAGACTCCCAGACCCCTCGTGGGTCTTGTCCTGCAAACAGGTGCTTTGGGGCACTCTAGCCTTATGGGCTACACGTGGCTCCAATCACCCCTTATACCATGCCCCAAGCATCGCAGTTGGAATAGACGTTGGTCTGTCACATATACACTCGCCCTCTCCTCTGGGGCCTTCTCAACAATGTTGCCCTCTCCTTGGGGGCTGGCCACGCCCGCACTAGGGCTTCTCAATAGTGTCCCCTCTATGGGGCTGGGGTCTATGCACCCCATACACCACACCCTTACTGGCACTAGGGTCCCCACACTGCTGTGGGTCCTCTATGAGGCCTCACCCAAACCACTGGTCTAACAAACAGCAACACAAACTCGAGCCTTTGGCTATAACTTAAATATAAGCCACCTGGCTAAAACAATATTGCACAAGCATCTTAGGGCTGCCATAAACTGTACCTGTGGTCAGGCTTCTTCCTGCATCTTGGCTTAGGAAGCCCCTGCTTCTCTGACTGCTAGCAGGGAACTGCCTTGGCCTCAGCTCCTGGGCTTTATAAGAGCCAGGCCTTGCCCCTTACAGCCAGCTGACCACTGGCAGATGTGGGTCGTTTGCTGCCTCCGGTTGCCCTGGCAACCCGCAGGTGGGCTCCTCATTCCCTGCTAGGGCTTTTTCTCTAGCAGTTTCTCCTCTTTAGGAGCAGGGCACCTCCATGCTCTGCGACACCTTAACTATAGTTGCATTCCTGGACCATCGCAATGACAATAACATTCCAACCCTACTTGTGCCTTAGTTATTCCTCCAATGATGCAAGAATGCTGAGCAGGAAGGTTAAAGTGTTCTGCCACAGGTCTGGGTGTTTTTCTGCAGCTGTTGTCAAATTGGTGTTCGTTCATTCTTTCAAACTGGAATCACCCCATCTGTTAAGTGTAAAAAGCAGAGGGGTACTGTAAGTAAATATATGACACTGATAGATTTGTAAGTGAATGAACTTCAGATGTTACAATCCAGGTCATTTGGTCCAGTGATGATATGGTCTGTATTGATGTTGGAGGACAGAAGGCATGTGGGTCCATTGCAAGGCCTGGTGCCTTGATGAGAGTGGGCATTAGGTAGCCTGTTGCTTAAAAGGCACTGTTTAAGGGTGGGAGGGGCAGCCTGTAAGCCAGGACAAATTTGTCCCCCATGACCACTTTGAGACAGTCATCCTTTTCCAAGATGGGTTAGAAGTCATTTTCAAGCAGGGTGTCAAGGCACGCTACACTGCCTTGAGATCCTTTCAAGGGTGTCGTGGAGTTAGTTCTGTTAGGTTTACAGACATAATTTACAAGATAAACCCAGAGATTTCAAATATAAATCCATAGTTGTGGTCCGAGTTCTTTGCAACAGAAAAAAATGCTTTATTATTTTTCTGTAGTCAAAAAGAGAGTGAAAACTAAGAGCTGGCACTTTCCAAGGGGTGCTTCCAGTCTGTGCAGGAGTGCCTCAAGTCTATCAAGGGATGCCTCAACTTTAAAAAGGTTGAAAAACACTGGTTCAAGGTGTTCAAGCCAGCGGCTATAGGTGACAACCAGAGGGGAACTCTTGTCCTTGTCCTGGAGTTGGTATAAGAGCAGATCAGAGCAAGGTCTGAGTCTGGCTTTGTTGATTTGAGTGGATCCAGTTTTGGGATTGTACTGTAACTGAAGGAATCCCTGTTCCAAGTGTGCAGTGGGATCAGAGCAGATGGTTGTAGTGTAGGCCTTGGCTGTAGACAATGAATCTAGTGGTGTTCTTAGGATAAAAGCTGGTGGCGTGAAGATAGTTGTGGTGGTCAGTTGGTTTCTGATACAATATGGTGGCAATGTGGCCATTGCAAATCTTCACTGTTGTGTCTAAGAGATTAATTTGCTGGGTGGAGTATTTCAGAGTTAGCATCATGGAGAAGTAGGGCTGGAAGGAACATCCAAAGGTCATCTAGTCCAACCCCCTACCTGAGGCAGGATCATCCCTATCCAAACCATCTTATACAAACCATAATAAACTTTACATAAAACTACTGCCAAACCTGACATAACATAGAACTGACACCCTAACCTGCCACAGGTAAAATAGGGGAACCAGAGCAGCCAGTGTCCTGAATCTATAAAATGTTGCCAAAAATACGCTCAAGAGGTCCTGGGTAGAAGGCCATGGCCCCTGCTACAGAGGAAGGCAAAAACCCCCACAGTCCATACTAATCTGACCATAGGGTAAAATTCCTTCCTGACCCCAAGTATGGTGATTGGTCTGACCCTAAGCAGAGGGGCAAAACCCTCTAGCCAGGAATGTCCAGCTTTGGTCTCAGCACTGAGCACTGACACACCCCAGTTAAAGTCCCCTTAGCTAACACCAAATGCCTCTAGGAAGGCTAAAGACTTTGTGGCACACATGAATGCTGCATGCCCCTGGAGGCTGGGGGGCATGGCGACTGCACGCAGGCAGTGATGTCGGCAATGGGGGTGTGGCGGCAGTGAGTGGGGAGCTCTTGCAGGTGGCTGCGGCAGTGGCCACAGCAGGAGGGAAGGGTGGTGGCTGGCAGAATCAGCAGTGCTTTTTGCAGGGGGTGCATTGCCGATCTCATGGGGTGCACGTGCACCTGTGTGCAGCCTCTACACATCGCCAGTGGTGACACACAGTAGCAAAGGCAAGGAGGGGGGAGCAACCAGCAAAGCCCAGAAGCATGGGAAATGTTCTAGTAGTTAATTTAGTTTAACTTAATGTAAAACACTCAGCCATCTCTATAGGCAAGCCATAAGTGGCATGTGAGTTCTTGTTTACTTGATGTAAATCTCATGTGTCACTATAAAAGATAATAGCAACCATTTGTAACCAGGTCAAATACCAGTTGGGAAGCACCAAGCAAACGTAAGGGGGATACTAGTAAAAACACCCGAACAACTTCCTAAGGCATAAAGAGGATTTTCCCCACCTTTATCCAATCTCCTCTTAAATACCTCCAAGGAAGGGGACACCACCACCTCCCTTGGAAGCGTATTTCACATTTTGGCAAAGAAAATAGGAAAAATCACTGTAAAGATTTTTTTCCTTTATGGCCATAGGCAATGCATAAGTGCCGACAGTGAAGGGCACAACTGCACTGCCACCGCCACCCCTGCTGCTGCCAGGCTTTGGGTTCAGCCAGGCTGCAGCCCCGTGGACCGCTGTTAGTACAGAAATCATACTGCCACTGACACTCCCACTGCTGCCGGACTTGGCTTCAGCCTTGTGCCCTATGCCCTGCTGTCACTGCAGACATCCTTAGTGGGGGCATGTGCCCTCCCATGCCTCCCCCCACCGATATGTCACCAATGTTTACTGGAATGTGAGGAAGGTAAGAGAACACAGTCTGCAATTAGCTTCTATTGAAACACCTGGCTTTTGACATCTTTTTTTTGATAGGTTAAAAACATTAACTTTATTTGTTGCAAAACAGTCAGATTTCTCTCCATAATAGAAGTAGTTAGTATGTGGCAAATGTGAAAGAGCTGTTTTTTTATTTAAAGAACATTAAAACGTTGTATTAAGAGCATGATCCAATTATCTTTAAGAGAAATTATTTCCAAGTACTGTCTTAAGCTATCCAATAAATTAAGTTTAAATGATATTTCAGTAGTTTTGAATGCAATTATATAACAGCCTAGCTCAGAGACAATCTGCCTCCAAACAGTCAGAGTGGGGATAATGAAACAGCACAGACATTTCCTCATTTGCCCCTGACTTGGCAGCAGTTTTTAAGTCACAAATGGTCATGACTGAGTACCCAGCCTTGAGAAATACAGGCTATACATAATCCTGGAAGGTGAACAGTTAAATATGTTCATTCTTTATGGGTTGAGGATAATTAAAGGAAGACTATGTCCCAGAATGTATCAGGTTGCGACCATACTGTATAAAATAGATAGTCTGTGCATAAGGGTTTAGGCAGAATCAAATCCTTAGAAAAGAAAACTGAACTTTAGATAATAACAAACATGCAGCGCAGAGCAAATTCCTGCTCTGGAATGAAGAAATCCAGGTAATGCATCAACCAGCAAAACACACCCAACCCAGTTCTGTATTTCCATCACATTTGTCCCCAGGCCCAGAGCTGAGTTCGGACCAGTGCTTCTGCGTGTGACCCCTGCGCTGTGAGGCTTTGACTTTCTCCCATGGCTGGAGCCTGGGGCCGCACTCAGAATCCAGGTCCCTTAAGGTTCTAAACAGTTACTGGGTCTTCGAAACTTCTTGCCTGCTGCCCTGTTCGTTCCCCACAGGCCACTATGGAGAGGCATCTACTTTCAACTAAACACACCTGAGATCGTTGCCCATTTAATTTTGGTTGTATAGACCATCTCTTATAGTTTAGGATCCATGGAAGGTGCAAAGTCTTCTGATCTGTCAGCAGGTAGGGATGAAACCAG